CCAGCAGGTTGAGGCTGCGGTGGCCGGGAGTGGCCACTGCACTCCAGTCTGGGCCACAGAGTGAGACTCCAACTCAAAATAAAATAAAAGTTAACTGAGGCTGATACAAATGCTGGTGAGTGAGTTACAAGACTGCATTAAAATTTTTCTTTTGTTCTACTCAAAATATTCAGCAACTAGGCCCAGAGTCTGGCCTCAGAGATTGTGTCGACTGAAGGCAATAGAGTGCTTTATTTTTTTTTTAAAGGAGAGATTTCTTTCATCTATTAAACATTTCACTGTTTGAAGAACAGTGCAAAGAAAAAGATGAAGTAGACATGCCTTACTGTGTTGTCATTTGAGATCTCTCAAGAGTTTAGCTGCGCAACTCCCTCTCCCATGAGTATCTGCTGCATATTTGAAATTCCCAGCCTTATATGCCCTCCTTTGGAGTAAGGTTTAGAGTCCACACAAGAGCCTATGAAAGTGCAAATATGCCATCTATAACCGGGAACCAAATTGGCATCTGGCAGACACTGACACATGTATCAGTTCTGATGTGTGACTAGCTAGGGGCCTCCGGAGGCCGAGACGCGGGTGGAAGGAGGGCCGATTCTGAGCTGGCTCCGGGGATCCACCTCGGCCAGGTTGGGACTTCGCCGACCACCAGCTCCGCAGCCGACTTGGCCGCAGGGACTAGCCAAGACAAAAGCAGCCCAGGGAGGCCTCGCGGCGCGGGGTGACCATACCCGAAGTCCCCTTCCTGGTCCCCGCACCGCGTCACCTCGGCCCTTCCTAAAACCGGCTGGCTCACGTCTGAACAATCGCGGCGGACACGTGGTGCACTGCGAAGTTCACTGGCATCCTCCAGCTGCCAAGTACATGGGGGTCAGGGAGATGGCCACACCGACTCACACCCTGAAAAGTCTTTTTGTTCATTTCGGCTCAGCCCATTTAAATTCCACGCAATCCTTAAACCGTGGGTATACGATTCTCCGCTTGCCCTTTACAAAGGCTCATAAACGCCATTCTCGAGCATCCCGGCCGGGCAAACGCGCGGGTTACA